CGGGGCCGAGGGGCCGGCGCCGGCGCGACGGGAGCGACTGCATCTCCAGGCCTGGGCTAGCGTTTGCGGGTAACGGTTCATTCTGTGCCTCAGTGAGCCGAGCGCGGCCTTACCCCTTGGATCTGAGCAGAGGCGCACCCGACACAGCTTGACCCTTAACAAAGTCCTTACGTGAGTTTGACGGAAGACAACCCAGGGTCCTAAGTTTTTAAAACGCAAGGATCCCCTTCTGCCCCATCCCAGGGTGGTGTTTCATATTCAGTACTTTTAGTAAAAACCTGTTCTGTTCTGTTTCGTTCTTTTTGAGAGAGGGTCTCGCTATGCAGTTCAGGCTGGCCTTGAGCTCACTTTGTAGCCCAGACTGGTGTCTTAACTCACAACGATCCTCCTGCCTCAGCCTCCCCAGTGCTGTGATAACAGGCGTGCGCCACCACGGCCATCGAAAAACCTGTTTTCATGAGACAAAAAACTAGCTTTTGTCTCTAATTTCAGTTGTCACGCATGGTTCTTTCTCTTTCCACCTTCTGTGGGCGGGTGAGAGGGTGGAGGGCTGGAGCAGTTCCTGGACAGCAGGCACCAGTCATTACCCCCGGCTCTTCTGAAGACCGAAGGACTCAGCCTAAGACGAAGCCGGCTTCCCGACCACCTTCCTTCCTCCATAGTGCTTTGGTTATCCATTGCTTTACCCACCTCTGTGTGATAGTTTATTTTTATTACATTTTTCATTAGGAAGTAATGCATGGGATTTTGTTTATTACCTTTAGGCTGTTGGGTCCAACGAATTGAATTATATTCCTGTTTGCGGCACAATATAATGCTAACTCCATTTAAAGCCTCTCTTTTATTTTGTTATTTTTTCCCCCTTTAACATTCATTTTTTTCCCAACACCCCCAACCTTAGTCAGTCATGCGAAATGTCCATCTTTATTGACTGGGAGAAACCTTACATTATGTGTGTTTCAGAAATATGTGCATCTTGAAAGATAGGTTATGTTTTGCTTTTTTGAATTTGCCTGAACAAACACCACTGTGCTATAACTCTCATACTATTCGTTTTTTCCTTTAGCATTATGTGTTTTAATCATCTGTGTCACTATATGTAAATCTAGGTCATTATTCTTGGCTGTGATGAGTTCTCAAGGACGGATGGATGGAGAGAATAGGTATAGAGAGACATGTGGCATTGCTGGCTCTAGCTATCTGCATACTGACTTACTAAAAATCTCCATTCTTGCGCTACAGAATGCTGTCTGTCACTGGTTTCTTCCCACCAGCAGTGCATGAAGAGTCCCTTTTCCATCATCTGCCTGTACTTACTAGTATCGACTTTATTATTTTGTCATTTTGGTTGCTTAAAGCAGTTCTCCATGTTTGTTTTATTGAGTAGAATATCTCTTCATATTATTTTGCCGTTTGTGAATTGCCTATCCATCTTATTTGTTCTTTTCTTGATTTTTTTTTAAATCTACCTTACATTTTGTACATTTATGTTTGTGTATGAAAATAGTAGTTCTTTATCAGATGTAGGAGTTGGAAGTCTTTTCCTTGTGCCCATCAGTTAACTTCATTGATGTATTTATTATAATTATTACTGTTATTATTACTAGCAATACAAATTTAATGACAAAGTGTATCTCATGAAGCAAAGAAGGTGGTAGAAAAGACTTAAAACTCTGCACAGGGGCGGTGTCATAGCCAATAAGGTTTATCCAAGGCACGATTATTGCTAATTGAAAAGGAGACTTGTTCTCCTAATTTTACCTAAAAAGGTTTACTTTGTTTTTGTGTTATAATCATGAGTGAGTATTTAATTTTATCAAGTGTTCGTTCTGTATCTGGCAAGATGATCATGTGCTCTCTCCTGCTAATTTATAGTGATCTTAGGTTGGGCAATGTTTCCCTTTTTTTTCTTTTTTTCTATCTTTGGATGCAGTTCATTTAAGACAGAGATTATCTACTCCTTAGAAATTGGTAGAATAGCCGGGTGTGGTGGCGCACGCCTGCAATCCCAACACTTGGGAGGCTGAGGCAGGAGGATCCTTGCAAGTTTGAGGCCAGCCTGGGCTACCAAGTAAGCTCAAGGCCATCCTGAACTGCTTAGTGAGACCCTGTCTCAAAAAGACAAAAAAAAAAAAAAAAAAGTTGGTGGAATACACTTGTAAAACATAGGCCTGAGACTTTATGGGAAAGGTAATTTTAAATTATTTTCATTTATTCAGTGGGTCTTGTCATTTTTTGTCATGTATTGCCATTTTTGGAAATTGTTATTTTCTAGAAATTTTTAATCTATTTTAAAATGGACTCAAAACACATATAACCCATATATATATATTTTTTTGGGGGGGAGGGGTCTTTTTGATACAGGGTTTCACTTTCCTGTCCAGGCTGGCCTTGAACTCACTTTGTAGCCCAGGCTGGCCTCAAATTTGTCTTGATTCTCCTGCCTCAGCCTCCCCAGTGCTGGGATTACAGGCATGTGCCACCATGCCCTGCCCTATATTATTATAAGCGCCTAAATGCCTTATACTTATCATTTCCTCCTAGTTCTATAATCCTTTTTTATCTTCTGTCAGTTATTCTTGATCAGTCTCCCTAGAACAGTTGGTGGCAAACCTATGGCATGCATGTTACTGTGTTTTTCTTTTAAGACAAAGATGTTATGTAGAGTCATTTTTTTAATAAATTAATATACCTCAGTATTCCAGTTTTATTGCAGTGTTGGCACTTCCCAATAAATAAGTGGGTTGCAGTTTCGCATGGTCTCTAAAAGGTTCATCATCATTGCCTTAGAAGCTTGTGTTCTCAAATGCATACTTTGGGTTTTATTGACCATCTTCACTTTTTGTTCCCTGAATCCTCTATTACACTGATTCTGTTCTTAGATTACTTCATATCTTCATTTTTCATCGGTTGTGTGTGTTTTGTAATAGATTCGAACAGTGCAGGTATTTGTAAGGTGAGATAGGGAGCCCACGCCTGCCTTGCAAACCCACACTCCGAGAGCAGCCACAGTTATCGTGTTGGTGTGTTTTGCCTGGACCCTTTCCTATCTCTTACAAACACTCTCTACAGCTTTCCAAACTCTGTAAGTCATTGCCTTCTTTCTGCAGTGTACACACACACACACACACACACACACACACACACACACACACACAATTAAAATAGAATACCATAATTTATCCATTTGTCATTCATGGCCATTTAGGTTGAAAGACTTGGTCTTCTAATTGTGGAATTTAATTCACTTGTCTTTATTTTGGTTATTGGTAAGTGGTCTTGTTTCTGTCCATCTGGTTTGCCATGTATTTATCAGGAGGGTTTTTTTCTTTCCCTTTTTGAGCGGTTTTTTTTTCTTATTACCCTGGATTCAAGTTATCTTTGTCCCTCATTTTTTCTTTCCATTTTTTTTATTTAGAAACTTAGAAGTTCTTAACCTTAAAAGGTGGTTTTTAATATTTATTTATTTATTTATCTGAGACAGAATCTCGCCATGTAACCAAGGCTGGCCTCAAATT